TCCCTCCCTCCCTCCTTCCTCCTCCTCCTTCCCTCCCTCCTTTCCTCTCTCCCTCCCCCTCCTTCCCTCCCTCCTTCTCTCTCCCCTCCCTCTCCCTTTCTTCCTTCTTTCCTTCTCTTTCTCAGGCCACCTTCTCTGTCTGCTTCCTTTCCTTTTACTTTCTTACTAGTATTTATCTGTGTAATAAAATGTATTATATTTTCTGTAAAAACATCTTTCCCCCTGGCCTCACTCTGCCTCCTCTCCTGCTTGGAGCTCAGACTTTGGAGGCAGAGAGGATGGCCCACCCAGAGGGTGTGGGGCGGTGCCCGGCCAGGGGTCTCTGCAGCGGACCCCTGGGTGGACCTGGGCAGGCCCGATCCTGGGGTCCGGTGAGGCTCCTGGGATTCCCGGAAGCACTGTGGCTGGACAGGCGGCTCTGGGGCAGCAGCCTGATGGGGGGCGGCTCAGGGAAGGTGAGTGCCCACCTGTGCCCAGGGGAGCGGGCTGCCACCAGCCAGGGTCCCGCTGGTTAGAGAACGGAAGGACACCTTTTATGTTTTATTTTTTAACTGCATAATAGGTTAATTATATCCCCATATAGTTTTTTTCCCGATAAAGTTTTTAAAAACACACCTTCATGCAACAGTTCTGATAAACACCGTTTTACTTCATTTTAATGTCCACTGTTGGTAGAAGAAAAAAAGAGACATTTTTAGGAATATATTTGCCTGACAAAGCTTGTTTCCATTTACGTTTAGCAGCCCATTGGATGTCACATACAGACTTCAAACCATTAGCTTGCAGTTTCATCGCAGGTTCACCCCAAATGCATCTTACATCACGATACCCCGGGGAAGGAACAGAAACAGGACACACGGGAGGAGCTGGAGCTGGAGGACCTGAGGTTCTGAACGCTCTGCTCACGACTCTGGCCCAAAGGTCACTTTTTAAAATTGAACTTATGGGGTGACATTGGTTGATGAAATTATACAGGTTCCAGGCGTGTCATCTGCACATTGTACTGTGTTTACCGCGCCAAGCAAGTGTCCTGGCCCGCACAGTCTCTAGGGGCTCCGGGTCCCGGGCGGCGGCC